AAAAAACAACCTACAGATTCAAGAAGCTTACTGAATACCAAGAAGGCCACACACACACACACACACACAGGTATACTATAGACAAGTGACTAAAAATCAAAAATAAAGAGAAAAATCTTAATAATAGAGGAAGGACACATCTCTTGCCCTTCGGGAGAAAAACACTGAGAATGAAAAATTATTTCCCAAGAGAAACTATGAAAGCCAAAGAAATAGCATCTTTAAACTACTAAAGAAAAAAAATCAACATAGAATTCTATATCCAGCAAAAATATCCTCCAAAACATGAAGAGTAACTAAAGACATTTTCAGACAAACAAAAAGCTAAAAGAATGTGTTGCTAACAGACTCTACTTCAAAGAATAAAAAAAGAATTTCCTTAGCATTAAGGGAAATGACTCTAGATGGAAGCATGGATATACGAGAAATGAACGGCTGCAGAAAATATAGATATAAAGGTAAATATAATAGATTATTGATTGTTTAAAGCAATAACAACAATGTCTTGTAGAGTTTATAACAAATGAAGGGGATGGTAAAAATACATAACAATAGCATAATAGAAGGCAAGTAAATGGACTTAAACTGCTTTAAGGCTTTTTTATTTGAGGGAAACATGGTATAAGTACTAAATAAAGGTAGCTTTTTGTAAGTCAGGACACATTTTATAATTTTTAAGGTAATCGCTATAAGCATGATATTAGTAGTTTAACCAAAAAAGCTAATAAAGGAGATAAAATGAAGTAAGAAATGCAGAAACATAAGGGAATCCTTTTAGGTGAGGAAAGTATTCAACGCCTTAATCTGGTAGTGGTCCCACAGATGTATACATATATAAACATCACTGAACTGTATACTGAAGATTTCTGCACTGTTCTATATAACATATATTATTAAATAAACAAAAAAATCTATATATACTTTCTAGAGTAGAGAGACTAAGCTGCAGAATATTTCTAGATTTCAATATATTCCCTAAAATTTAATGGCTTACAGCTATTTTCTGAAAAATTTTCCAGAATGTATACTAGACACTCAGTACTTCTCATTGAATGAAGTATATGAGTAACCACAATTTTATTTAATTTATGGTACTACTGCCAAGATAACAAAAAACCTAATTCTTAAAAAAGTAATACTTGACAATTGCTTCCTCTTTACTTTTAAAGAATAAATTGGCATATTTACATTTTCCATGTATGTATATTTTTTTAAAATGTGTTACTGTTTATTTACAGTTCATTTTTATTATAGTGATATTGGTTAACGAAACCCATTAAGTTTCAAGCATACAATTCAACGGTAAGGCGTGTGTGTGTGTGTGTGTGTGTGTGTGTGTGTGTGTGTGTGTGTGTGTGTGTAAATATATATATTGCATTGTGTTTTCACCACCCATAGTTAGATTTATTTTCGTCACCACATATTTGACCCCTTCTACCTCCCCTGCCCCCTCTCTGCTAACCACTAGTCTATTGTCCATGTCCATGAGTCTCTGTTTGTCCTGTTTGTTTAGCGCTTTTAGGTTTATATGCCACATATAAGTGACATCATGTGGTTTTCAACTTTTTCTGTATGGCTTATTTTGTTTAGTATGATTATCTCAAGATCCACTATGTATTTTTAAGCACTACTGCCAGGAAACAAAATGGGTTTTGGAAACAGTGCATGTACAAGAGTATATATGTGAAAATATCATATATACATATAAAGCAATTAGCACGACTGCTATTTTGTGGAATAATAATAACAACAATAACAATATTCTTCTAAGAAAATATTTCTGTAACTAGAGAACAGATCAACTGGATTGCAAGCAATAGAGGAAAGAAGAACCAACCCTTCTAAATGTATATATGAGTCTGACACAAACAGTAACTTCAGAAATATTCTCATTTAATTCTAAGCATCCTATGCAAGGCAGATATTATTCTCCCTTATCATATGAAGAATCTGAAACACAGAAAGGTAGAGCAACTTGATTAGAACCACAGAGCAAGTAAGTCTTCAAAATAAAGACTTACAAATTCATCATCAGATAATTGCCTAGGAAATCTTTCAAAAGAAGCAAAAGTCATTATCAGGAACAGATTTATGCATGACAAATATATTAGACCAAACGAACTATACCTCCTTGATGAAAACACAACAGAATTAAAGAATAAACCAAGAAATACTGTAACTTTAATTTTACACAACTATAAATCTAACTGATAGTTTTCTAGTGATATAGTTTAGGAAAAAAACATTTCAAAGTAGAGGAAGAAAATCTTTAAAGATCTATCATATACTATGTTTGAATTTTCAAATACTATAAAATTTGGCAAATTATCGCATCCTTAGTGCAAAAAGATGATGGATCATATTTTAATATCTAATTTTATTCAAAAAATCTTTGTAAATAGTAAATTCTCCTTCAGGGTAGACACTGAAAATCAATCCATGGCCAAGGTTAAATGCAGCAGACTGAACACAAATGTTTGCTTAAAACACACTAAAGTAACAGTGAAGGCAGATATCAAAGCAAGTCTATATAATAACAGCACCCTCTATGAATAACTCCTCTCACTTCCCCCTTCCTACTGCCAATCATTTTAAGAACTAGAGATTTCTTACTCTCTGAAGAAAATGACATGTAGTAGTGTGTAAGTTTAAGGTATAAAACATGATGATTTGATACACATATACAGTTGACCCTTGAACAATGCAAGGGTTAGGGGCACTACCCCTCATCCAATCAAAAATCTGCATGTAACTTCTGACTCCCCCAAAACTTAGTCATCCCTCGGTATCTGCAGGGGACTGATTCCAGGACCCTGCGCGGACACCAAAATCCACAGATGCTCAGCTCGTCTCTTAATACAAAATGTCATAGAACAATGCACACAATTAGCCCTCTGCATCTGCAGATTGAAAATACTGTTTTTGATCCCCGATAGGTTGAATCTGCAGATGCAAAACCTGGGGTTACAAAGGGCCTAGAGTATAATTGAAAAAATCCATGTGTAAGCTGACCTGTGCAGTTTAAACCTGTGTTGTTCAAGGGTCAACTATATATTGTAAAATGATTACAATAACATTAGCACATCTATCAACTCGCATAATTACCTTTTTTGATGTGAACGGTGAGAACATTTAATATTTATTCTCTTAGCATCTTTCAAGTATCTAATATAGTACTGTTGACTACAGTCACCATGCTCTACATTAGATCCCCAGAACTTACCTTATAACTGGAAGTTCGTACCCTTTGACCAAAATCTCTCCATTTCTTCTACTCCCCAGACCCCTGACAGCTACCATTCTACATTCTGTCTCTATAAGTTCAGCTGTTTTAGATTACACATGAATGAAATCATACAGTATTTGTCTTTGTCCAACTTACTTCACTTAGCCTAATACCTCGGTCCATCCATGCTATCACAAATGGTAGGATTTTTGAAGATAAATAATTTATATTACTTAAAGAATTCAAAGTATAGAAACAGCAAGCCTCCCTTAACTGCAGGGGATATGTTCCAAGAGCCCCAGTGAATGCCTGAAACTATGGATAGTACCAAACTCTATATATACTATGTTTTTTCCTATATGTGCACACCACCTATGATAAAGTTTAATTTATAAATTAGGCACAGTAAGAGATTAACAACAATAACAATAAAATAGAACAATTATAACAATATACTGTAATAAGTTATGTGAATGTAGTCTCTCTCTCTGATTACTGACACAGCTACTAAGGGACAAAGAGGTGAGTAGCATATACAGTGTGGATATGTTGGACAAAGGAATGATTCACATCACAGGTGAGATGCAGCAGGATGGTGCGAGACTTCATCCCACTACTCAGAATGGAATGCAATTGAAAACTTATGAATTGTTTATTTCTGGAATTTTCCATTTAACATTTTTGGACCATAGTTGACCATAGGTAACTGAAACTGAAGAAAGCAAATTCTGGATAAGGGGAGGACTACTGTACCCGGGGAACAGAGCAAGAAACGGATGAAGGTGTTATTCTGGAGATGTAAAAATGAGGAATAAGGAATTCCTCATATTCTAGTTTGACTATGGACTATATATTATATATTATTATTTTCATAACATTAAATTTGGGGCTGTGATACTACGATACTATGGTAATTTATGAGATTCTTACACTGCTGAAGTGCTGGCAGGTGAAATGTAGCACTTTCAGAAATTTCAGAAAAAACACATAGAAAGAAAAATAAAAATAAAGCAAATGTGCAAAATGTTGACAACAGGTCAATCTAGGTAAAGGGTGTGTGGATATTCATTACTAATTCCTTTACCTTTTCTATAAGCCTGAATTTTTTTTAATAAAAGAAAGTACCAGCAACATTACTGATAAGAGCCCAAAGTGGAAACAATCCAAATATACACCAACAGTAAATGGACAAGTAAATGGCAACAAATAAATGGACAAGTAAATTATGGTATATTCATATATAACAGAGTACTATATAGCACGATACAGTACTATACAACTACTGTTAACATAACACATGGGTGAACCAAATAATGTTGAGCAAATAAAGCTATACATAAATTAGATGAACAGATATTTCTTGAATATTTCAGACAAAACTTGGATAAGACCATGGCTATCATTTATCTTTGTTTGGCAAAAGTTATATTCAGACAGTACAAGTAAGATTACAATGAAAATGTATAAATTATTTAGAAGAACAAATTCCTTTCAAGCATCTTCAAGCACATTTATAAAAACCATCTATATATTATTATTGATCTGTTCTACTAATTAATCATAATGCACTGCTGGTTTGTCAACTTTTTAAAAGACTCAATCTGAACTGGAACTTATACTTGATAGTTACAAACATACTACAAAGACTTTTCTTCATTGAGTAAGGGTTTCAAACTTTACTACAACTAAACAATTTTAGTTTTAAAATATAACGTAAATTCATATTTATAATGAGAATATTTTCAAAAGAGAGAGAGAGACATAAAATACTTACATTAACTTTGAAAGCTTGTACAGTGTTATCCAGAAGAAGGATGTTACAAACCACTTCTGTATGCTGTCTGTCTCGGGCCAACTCTGATGCTCGTACATTGTAGGTTCTGCCAGCAGGCAATCGGAAACGTGAGGTCATTACTGTCCGCACAAGGTCTAAGTTGAAAAAAAAAGTTCACCAAGTAAAAGAATAATTCAATATACAAAGTAGTTCAAAACAAAATTCTACTAAGTATTCTTCAACTAGCAAGAACAAAGAGTTAAAAGTTTTGAAACAGCCAGATAAGAATTACAGGTATAAAAAAAGATACTACATATACAGTTAATCATTTGAACTAAAATTATAAACTACCTGGAAGCTTTATTCTTAACTGTTTCATTGAGAAAACAATACATAAATTGTTCAAAAAGTCATATTCCAATTTAAAATATATAAATTTAGGAGTAGCCAAAAAGAGGAAAGAATATGCTACTTCAGTAAGTTGGACATTATTCATTGATGCAAATATTAAAAAAACACCGTAAAGTGGCAACAGGTATGAAGATTATTAAACTCTGAAGGCCCCCCTCTTTGTTAAAACTGAAGGTTTGGGGAAAACATGGAAGTTTGTTTTTAAATATAATAATAACCGTCATTTTAATTATCTTCAAATTCAAACTAATTCTAATAGGATTATTCTTATTATTCTTAAGAAAACAAAAACAAAAACTTAAGGCTACAGATCTTTGCTTCTCAAATTTGTAACTAGAGGGAAAAATATACTGCCTATAAAAGAGCAGATATCGCACTGATATGAGCAACATTTGATATTTAAAGACAATGAAGATGTAGTTTTGAAATCTGAAAGAAAGTTATTTGAAACAGAATTATATACCCAAAAGTTAGAATTCATGTGGCAGAATAAAGCTAAAGACATTTTGACATTCAAGAATTCAAAGTTTAAAATCCATAAAACTTCCCTCTTAAAGATAATTGGATAAAGGAAATAAATTACACTAGAAAATACAAGCATATAAAATGTTTTAATATGATTAAGCAATAAGTAGTAAGACGAATGAGTAAGCAAAAAATAATAAAAAGAAACAGTGGTTAAAATTGGTGGTATTCAATACTTGCAGTTGACACCACTGACTGTTAATGTCAAGAAGACTAAAGCTAAAAGTAAAAGTCAATGTTACATAAGTATGCAAATTGAATAGAGGGAATCAGCTTTAGCATGTTGACAGGGGAACTAGCCAAATAAGATTTACCAATTAAAAGACAGTGATTGGGAGTTTCTGGTTCCATATGATATGAACTTGAAAGTCCCTACTCCATCCTAAGAAGTAAAAATATGAACAAACAGGAAAATCAGCAACTCTTCCTGGATCCATTAAAGAGAGAGGACACAGGGCAAACCGCTGCCCTTAAGACTGGAGAGACAGGCAATTATGAAGAGTCACGGCTTACTGGAGTATAGACTGACAAGCAGAAACTACCATGGGAGCCAGTGCATGAGTAGGAAAACTTGAACTGTAACTGACAATTGCTGGAGGCTCAGAGTGGACAATTCTGTGAGTTAAAAATTCCAGGGGGACCCAGTCATAGGAGGGGCTCCCACAATATTGTGAGATTTACTTCCAGGAGTTCAATCAGATTCTCACAGTAAATATCAGAGAAAAACATGCTTGAGCTTCCCACAAGTTGGGTGCGGTGATCATTATGAAATATACCAGAGCAATCTCTTCTCAAGAAGGCCTACCCTCATCTACATCTACATTATGTGTAGAGCCAGATGGGTGCTAGAGTAATCAAGGGGACTGCTTCATAAACTATATAAATGTCTAACCAATGTACTGTATACACAAAATTAATGTAAAATAAAAAATTTTTAATGTATATATATTTTTTTAAAATTTCAAAACAAATTAGTTAACCAGTGCCTAACTGACCTGGCGCAAGGAAAATATCCAACTCAAGCCGAATTTAGCCTTCCAGTGGGAGGAGAAAAATACTCAACTCCAGGTAACTCTAACTATCCTATCCCACATAAGGGGAGAGAAAAAAACTGAGAAACACTTGTGAAGTGTACAATCCAGAAGCTTGGGTTCACTAAAACACAGAGCTAACCATAGCACTAAAGAACACGTCCTCTATCCCCACATTAGAAGCGCCTATTTACATCAGTTTCTTTTAGCAGGAAATCATGCCTACCTATCAAGAAAAATTTACAAGGTATACCAAAAGGCAAAAAACACACTATGAAGAGACAGAGCAAGTATCAGAACCAGACATGGAAAGGATGTTGGAATTATCAGACAGGGAATTTAAAATAACTATGATTAATATGCTAAGGGATCTAATGGATAAAGTAGACAGCATGTAAGAACAGATAGGCAATGAAAGCATAGAGATAGAAATCCTAAGAATGAACCAAAAAGAAATGTTACAGGTAAAAAACACAAAAGATATGAAGAATGTCTTTGATAGGCTGGCTTATTAGTGCATGAAAGTATGAGAAAGAATCTCTGAGCTACAGAATATACCAATAGAATCCTCAAAAAATGAAAAGCAAAGAGAGCAAAGATTGAAAAAACAGAACAGAATATCCCAAAACTGTGGGACTACTACAAAAAGTATGATATACATGTAATGAGAATACCAGAAGAAAAAAAACAAAGAAAAAAAAATGTTTGAAACAACAGTGACTGAGATTTCCCCAAATGCCAAACATCAAACCAAAGATCCAGGAAGCTCAGAGAACACCAAGAAGGAAAAATGCTACTCGCCCCAACCCAAAATAAACAAAAAAAGCCCACGAACAAAAAATGTCTATCTAGGCCTGTCATTTTAAAAAAACAGAAAATCGAAGATTAAAAAAAAAAAAAAAACAGAGGAAAAAGCCAGAGGAAAGAAGACAGAGTTAAAAAGCACCTTACCAAGAGAGGAACAAATATAAGAATTATATCTCACTTCTTAACCATGCAAGCAAGAAAAGAGTGGAGTGAAATACTTAAAATGTTGAGAGTAAAAACCCTACCAATCTAGAATTCTGTATCCTACAAAACTATCTTTCAAAAGTGAGAGAAATAAAGACTTTCTCAGACGATAGAGGGAGGTCTCTCCTCTGTGGAGGATGGGGGAGGGAGGGAAGGAGGGAGGGAGAGAGGGAGAGAAGGAGGGGGAGGGAGAGGGAGAGAGGGAGAGAGAGAGAGAGGAGAGGGGGGTGGGGCTTGCAGACAGACTGTTTTTGGCAGACTTGCCTTTACAAGATACTTTTAAAATTCTTTAGAGAGAAGGAAAATAATATAGGTCAAAACTCACATCTACATAAAGTAACGAAGAGCATCAAAGAAGGAAGAAGTGAAGGTAAATTAAAAATTTTTTAAACTCTTTATCAGATAACAGTACAATACTCTCCACTTGAGTGTGAAAAGGACTTAAGGAATTTGATGGGATTTTCCTTCCATGATTAGGTAGGTGAGGGTTGAAAGGCATTTTACAAATGTGATTAAAGTCTGAAGTCAGCTGAACTAATAGAGATTACTTTGATGGGCCTGACTGAATCAGGTGAAAGCACTTAAAAGAAAGACTGAGCCCTTTCTGAAGTGAAAGTAATTCTGCTGTTGGCTTTAAAAAAAATGATGTGCCTTGCTGTGAAAGGGCCTATGAAAGGCCATGTGGCAAGGAAGTGTAAGGGCCTCTCAGAGCTGACAGCCAGCAAGGAATGGAAGACCTCAGCCCTACAGTTGACTGTATTTATCACCAATAACAAATTTGGAAGAGAATCCCAAGCTCTTGCAGACCAGTCAACACAGACTGTAACTTTTTGACACTCAACCAAGCTGTGCCCTGACCCACCAATACTGGGAGAAAATAAATGTGTGTTGTTTTAAAGCTGCTAAATCTGTAGTAGTTCATTATACAACAGAAAACTAATACATCTTTTGCAGTGGTATACAACTCAACCAACAACATTCACAAAAGAAAATATCCAAAGAATGAAATATACATGATGATCTCTTTGTGTACATTCCACTCTTGCCTGTGATGGATATATACTTCCCTTCTCCTCAAGCCCTGCACTCCCTTCGCCAAGGGTACATGGTCTAGCCAAAGAAAGTGACCAAGACAAGGAAATACAGTAGTAACAGCAGAATCAGCAACTCAGTCTTAACAGTAGGGGGAGCTACCAAAAAAAGGAAATTGGTCAATGTCCCAATGTCAATGCAAGGTACAGGACATCAGTGTGCAAATATCTTTTCAGATATGAGTTTTCAAGGTTGAAAACCACATGATATCACTTATATGGGGGATATAAACCTAAAAGCAACAAACGAACAAGACAAACAGAGACTCATGGATTTGGACAATAGACTAGTAGTTACCAAAGGGTGGGAGGCAGAGGAGAGGGGGAGAAGGGAGGTAGATGGGGTAAAAAGGGTCAAATATGTGGTGACAGAAAGAAATCTAACTATGGGAGGTAAACACAATGCAATTATATATATGCCTTACTGTTAAATTGTACACCTGAAACTTACTGGATTTCATTAACCAATATCACCAAAAGAAAAAATAAATTAAAAAAAAGGTACAGAAATGCCAAGATCAAAAGGTATCAATGCATTTTGCCAACACTAGTCTTTCCCATTTACGAGCATATTTACTTTTGACATTTGCAACTTATACTTAAAGACTTCAAATTGAAAGCATAAGTGAATTGTCTAATCAGCTCTTGAGATTCCCCCCCAAATAACATATATTTAGTTAGCAAAATACCAAATATATTCACCCTTCTTGTCACATTTACTTTCATTCATAAAGCAATAATTCTGCTTGATTTCAGAATTTTCCTACTTGAAAATTCTAACTTTGTGAGAGAATACAGTAAATCTTCATGATGATTTACAAAGAGAAAGGTCAAATAAAATCCTCCCTTGCATCTTTCTTTTTTCATCTGAAAGATATGTCAATACAATTGAGATTATATATATACATAAAGAGATGTGGACAATTCTGTGAGTACATACTAATGATTCCATTTATATATTTGCAAGTGGAAAAGAGCCCATCTCTTTTATGGAAAGACCATGAATTGTTATCTATAAAAATGTTCATTCCTTTACATATATTCAAGGAACAAATAAAATCTTAAGTATTCAAAAGTTCTAAAATT